AAAAACTATGCCTATTTATACATATAGCACTACATATTTGATTAATTGTTTTCTTAAAACTCCGTATCAACAAGCTTCAATTATATACCATTGGATAGCTCTTTTCACGGGCTACAAAACCATATAGTTTTTAAAACTATTAAAGATGGGCCTATCAAAAAGTCCAAGGCTACAAAGTAAAAACTACGCTTATTTTTACATATAGTATAACATGTTTGATTTGCCATTCCTTCAAAAACTTTCTTAAGTCAACTCCTGTTATAACTCGTCAGATAGCCTTTTCTATCAGCTATAAAAATCTAATATTTGGGATGTGTGAGTGTGGGTATGAGTGTGAGTTAAGCCAATAACGGTACCCACAGCCACACCCACACCCACACCCACACCCATACATATATGTAATACTTGAAACTTGAATTCAAGTATTCAAGTATTCAAGTATTGAATAGTTGAAGTTTCAACTATTCAACTGTTCAACTATTCAAGTGTTCAAGTGTTCAAGTATTCAACTATTCACGTATTTAACTATTCAACTATTCAAGTATTCAACTATTCAACTATTCAAGTACTCAACTATTGAAGTGTTCAACTATTCAAGTATTCGAGTATTCAACCATTCAAGTATTCAACTATTCAGCTATTCAAGTATTCAACTATTCAAGTATTCAACTATTCAAGTATTCAAGTACTCAACTATTCAGGTATTCAACTATTCAAGTATTCAACTATTCAAGTATTCAACTATTCAAGTATTCAAGTACTCAACTATTCAGGTATTCAACTATTCAAGTATTCAACTATTCAAGTATTCAACTATTCATGTATTCAACTATTCAAGTATTCAACTATTCAAGTATTCAACTATTCAGCTATTCAAGTATTCAAGTATTCAACTATTCAACTATTCAAGTATTCAACTATTCAGCTATTCAAGTATTCAAGTATTCAAGTATTCAACTATTCAGCTATTCAAGTATTCAAGTATTCAAGTATTCAAGTATTCAAGTATTCAAGTATTCAAGTATTCAA